ATATATATTTAAATGTATTTTGACTCTGGTCACATGCTAATACACAACTTTAGGTACTCAAAAATAGTTTCTGTGTTCTCATTATTACTTGTTAAAATATTACATGGCTTTGTTTGTCTTGACATGGAGGTCTCGCTTTGTTATCCAAGCTGGTTTTAAACTCCTGGGCTCAAGAGATCCTTCTGCCTCATTCTCCCAAGTATCTGGGACTAGAGGTGCACACCACTGTGCCTGGCTTTTAACACACTTTATTTGCCTAGAAGGTCTTCATCAAATTAGTGGCCCTCTTTTATTTATTCTTTGTTTGGTTTATTTATTGTGATACAGGAGTCTGTTTTTGGACATGGGTGCTGTAATAAGAAGAACTGGTAAGTTCTGACACATTAGAATATGGTCATGACACACAGTGACCAGAAAAGAGAGAGTTAGATATAGTGGTTTTTACTCTGGATTTTTGGCTTTTTTTTCTCCCTACCCACTCAAAGGAGAGAACACCCCATTAGTTATAGTATCTCTCCTAGGAATTATCTCAAATAGCCAGGAAGGAGAAGGCAGCCAGTCTCAATCTGGGGAAACAAGGTGGGTATTCTCTGAAAAGTTCCTACAACCCCACAATTCTGATCACTGTTCCTACAAGCTCAGTTTATGAACTGAAGTGGTTTCCTAGAAAAAATCAACCCTAAGCCCTGATTTTTTCTATGACTGCATGAAGACAAATGATAGTGGACTGATTCACCTTGTGGGACAGTATAACTGGACAATGGATACAGATAACAGACTTAAAGTGGCATCAGCCCAGTGGTATAAAACAGATTGGGTTCAAGTTGAAAGCCCTCCCTTTTGGACTCCCTTCCATTTTATGCGTAGCTAATTGTCTTCACTTGAAGTTAGGAATTTAATCGCTCCTATAATCCATGAGGGTTTAGCTAAGTATTCTCATTGGAATGCTAGATGTACAAAAAGAACCAAATTTACAAATGGCTGCAGGAAAGAAGAGCTAAGCTGCATTTTCTATCATTCCCAGTGTGCCAACAAGATCGAACCCATGGAGGGAAAGTGAAGCACCTTTAGTGAAAAAAAGAAAACAGTTGTGGAAGCCAGCAGGTCAGGCAGACTGTAAGCAAGAATCAGTGGCTCAAACCCTGATGGAAACAGCATCGGCTCCAACAGCTGTACAGGTGTGCGGGGAGCATATGGAGAATTGAGTCACAAAAATGTCAGTAACTTGGAAAGTCAAACCCAGAGAGCCTGAGGAGGAAAAGCAACAGAGGAAGGTGGTCTGCGCCTCTCACAATATGGCCAGCTTCCAGCTGCGCCCAAATTCTCCCCAGGCCGAGGCTGAAGCAAAGAAAGCAGGGCTGTTACAGCAGGCAGGGCTCTGACTGGATCCCTCTCCTTGCTTTCACCCAGGATACTGACACTGTGAAACCACATCTCTGTGTGAGTCACCATGACATGACACTGCTTCCAGTCTTGGCAGGCACTCAGCCTAATATTTTATAGGTTTTAAAAAAATTTGTGAGGCATAATATTTGAATAAAAGCAGCAAAATATATTTTGGTAAAGTTAATATGAATGGGTTCATTAACAGAATTTATTAAGTACTATCTTCTGCTAATACGCAGAAGAAATGGAAATACTTTTAAATAGCAAAGAAAATCTGGTAATCCTCTTGTTGCCCTCAACTGGCTCCATATTCATACTTCGGAGCATTTGCCTCGTATTGTTGTCCTTCTCATCCTCCGGTAAATGTACCGAGGAAGCAGCCTGCCGTCCTCTCCATTGGTCCACCTGGGTCTACTGATTGCCCTCCACTAACCTGCAATAGTGACTCTTCCCTGCTCTCTTCCTTCTCAGTAGCTACAACCTTAGCCATCTGCTCAGAAGTCACCAGTCTGTGAAATCTTCCTCCATGCTCCTATAATACCTAATTCATATGCACACTGTCCTCATGGTAACAGCGAATATCTGCCTGCAGAGGCCGGATTCCTCACTGCTCTGTTACACTCTTCCTGCAGCATTAACAACATAATGAAGGCCTCATTGTGCGCCTCTCACTAGAAACTGCAAGAGTCTAAAAGTAGGGAAATTTTATTTACTTTTGAATTCCCAGGGCTTCCAACAAGTTCTGCCAGTGATAGACTACACAGACGGATAAATGAATAGTACACAAAAAGTGCTAAATACAGGAATTATATGCCAAAAAGCCCAATGAATACCATTACTATAGCTCTGGTTAAGTGAATATGTGACTCTCTAAAGTTTTAGTTACCTCAACTACAAGATGGAGCTATTGATAGCACCTACCTGGCAGAGACGTTCTTAAGATTATAAGGAACGCTGCATATAAAGAGCTCAACACGGGCCTACTGTGGGGTAAATGTTTAGTAAATACAGGTAATTTCTTATTAGAAGTATCATCCTTTTTTTCTTTTCTTTATTTAGTTAGGATCTTGCTATACTGTCCATGCTGGCCTTCAACTTGAAGCTCTCTGGCCCCAGCCTCCTGCAAAGCTAAGATTACTAGTGTGCACCACTGAGTCCAGCTTTAGCAGTAGCATTCTTCTTTAAAGATCTTTAGCATCACAACAGAGTTTCCTTTATGGAATATTTTAAATGTGAATAGAGTTAAAAGAAATGGAACAAACTGGATGACCTGTCGAGATCCTTCTGATTTAGGAGCCAAAGGACACAAGGCCTTTACAGTCAGCCAAAGGTGGCAGAGATGGGAATGTTGGGTTATGTTCCAGAAAATAACTGTAAAGCACTACTGAGCATAATCTGACTTTCAAGGTGAGAGGAGTTGTTCCCTGCAGTGAAAGATGCTTACCAGTTTTGTTTTGTTAAAAACATGCTTTGACTTCCTCAATTTCAAACACACAGTAAGAAATCAAGTAAAATAAGAAGCTTTAATATGAATAGAACTTAAACACTAGTTTCCAAATGGTTGTCTATGAGATCGAGTACAAAACCTATTAATTAGATCTTTAAACCCTGAATCTACATGATTAAAATTTTAAATGTAAATTTAAAATTCCATGATTGAAAGAACTGGCATTTTAGTTTTGTTTGTTACAGTGCTGCTTGGCAGATGAAAAATCAGGTCCTTAGCTGCATGACAGGTCACAGCCAGTTCCCTTCCTAACCATGTCACTGGAAATTTGTGCTCTTTGTCTAAGTGACTCATATACATATGCAAAGCACAGTTATATCCAGAAATATAGCACTTTCTCCTAGTCATGGCTCTGTAGCCATTTCAGACTTCTGCTAAAACTTAAAGCTCTCAGTTGAGTTGGGGTGTTTTTTAGGTCAAAGATTTTGTTCTTAAGTTCATTTATTTTTATAACAAAGGCAATCCTGACTGTGTTAGTCATACCTTTCTTGGTCCTTTCTAGTGGTGTGAGACTTAGAACGTTATTCTAATCTGGATCTGTCAGACTACCTTGGTCCATTTCATACACATTTAATTTTGGCACCAAATGTAGCCATCAGAAACAGAATCAGAATCAGTATGTATTAAGCATTTATAAGCTATAGATTATTAGGCGTAGAGGTATAGATTATTATGAACTGTCTTAGATATGGAAGTTGTTTCATCTGAGGAAAACAAATGAAAACACCTGAAACTCCTCTACCTAAAAACACATGACCAGGCCCAGAAGCTGGCTCCTCCCCAAAAGTGGTGATCAACAGACAGGGACAGCAGAGAGGACTTACAGATCAGCATTTCTCAAAACCTAGCAGTGTAAGAATTATGTGGAGCGCTGCTAGAACATAAACTGATCTCAGAAATTCTGACAATGGATCTGAAGGGGAGGCCTAGTAATTGTATTATTTGCATTTCTAACATGTTTCCATTGATCCTGAAGCTCTTGGTCCAGGATCCACACTTCCAGAACTATGCTCCAGCATTAACTAATCATCTGGATGGTTCCCACCTTCCGGCCAGCTGTTCTTGCCAGCCATTAAAGGGCCATAGGTAAAGTTGGGCATAAATGGAGAGGGGTTCCTCCAGGATCCTATCCAAGTGCCATTAGCTAATGTTGCTTATCTCTAGCAATGTATCATTTAAAACCTTAGAGAGCAAAACTCACAGTCATCTTCTAGCTACTCAGAAAGCTGGCAAACATCATAGTTCATGAGCTCCCAAATAAAGAGGGTCCAATGATTCATAACAACCACTGGTTTGGCTTAAAGGAGTCTGTTCAATCAGAAAATGGCCCTTAGTGGCTGACTGTGTGTGTGTGGAGGTGGGGAGCAAAATATGAAGTTACCATTTTAATTTAACCATTCTCCTGCTGGTGAGTACGTAAGCTACTGCCCTTCAATTTTTCACTGTTATAAAAATATGGCAAAGAAGATACTGGGCCATAGTGGAATACTCTGCTCATTTATGTGAGTATGTCTGTGGTACAGAGTATCAGAAAAAAACAGTGAATTGGATCAAAGGATATTAGGCTTTTTATGTTGTACAGTGCCCTCACTTCTTACATGCCAATGAATGTTTTCCAAAGGTAGTTATCTAAAAGAATTTAGAACTATACCAATTTTTCCATGAAGTTCTTGGCTTGACATTTCATAGATTCTTTAATTTATGAGCCATAAGATTCAAATAAAACCAGCAGATAACCAAACCAAAATAAAACTTTATTTTGGTAAAGTTAACGTGAACTGGTCAGCTAACAGTGTTTATTAAGTACCATCTTCTGCTAGTACACAGAAGAAACTATTAAGAAAAGAAAGAATATCTGATTTGTGACCACATGCTTAAGTGCATTATAACTGAACTGTTGAAAAGGTACATCATCCAGCTCCACAGGCCTTTACTCTACTTCTTTTCTTTTCTTTTATTCCCGGCCCTTACTCTACTTCTAAAATGCAGCTTCCTTTTACAGGGCACATCTTTGAGCATACTTTATCCCCTCTCTGATCTTGGCATAAACATTACTTCCTAAAAGAAGCCTGGTGAGGGCTCCTGTCCAGGTCAGGTTCCACGTTACATACTCTCACCAGACCATACTCTTCCTTCAGAGAACTTAAAATATAATTATATATTCATTAGGGTGGGTGTATGGTTAACCGCTCTCTGGCTCACTAACCTGAAAATTCCAAAAGATCAAGGACTAAGCCTATGTCTGTTCTTATTAACATTTTATCCAGAACATTTAGCTAAGTTACTGGCTTATATACTTAAAGCTCCGTAAATACAGAGTGAAAGATAAAAAGAGGACATGAAAGAAGGAGAATTAGAAACAAAATTGTATGTATTTGTTTCTTCTAGAAGATAGTTGTCATTTAGAGAAAAATAGATATATAAAAATTGTAAATAGCATTGAAGGCCAGTCCATAGGAAACTAAATTGTGAGTGCATGACTTGAACACAGCTGTATGTACACTCATCCCCTGGCATTTGGACACAGTATTACACACCTGTTTTTATAAGTCAGACGAACAGTTCTTGTACCTTCACATTTCCCAGGCTGCTGTTCTTTGGATGCCTGTTCCCATTTGGAAATAATGTCACAAATCTAGAAAGGAAGTGAAAAAAAGAGATTCACAGGACTTTCAAAACCAACACTTTTGGAAGACAGTTCTGTTTGGTAGGCTGACAATTTTCAATTAATATGATCAAACCAAATGCACTCAAGCTTTTTGTTTTCAGTTTCTGTGAAGCTCTGGGTGTGGGACTCAATTATAAATTGTTCTTTTCTCTACTTATCCTTTTGGGCACACATTAACTTTGGACTGTGGCCCTGAATTTTTTTACTCCAAAAAAACCTTAATGCGTGACTATATGAGACTGGAACCAAGAAGATTCCAGGGATTTTTTCATGATTTGGTCACTGATGAAGCAATTCTTCCACCTTCTGAGTTTATAAAGATTGGAATGTCTAAAAATACATAAAAGAAACCTGAAATATAATACAGGAAAAGAGTGTACACCCAATTCTTGTTGTTTTGTTCCAGGTAAATCTTTTCCCTCTCTAGATTTCTATTTCCTCATTTGCTTTTAGCATACTGTTTCTCAGAAGTCCCTTGTAGTAACTATAAATCTAGATTTCTAATTGTTTCTCTCACTTGATGGAAACTTTATTGGATTCCTTGAACTATAATCTGAAAAATATTTTCTAAATCTCTTCAGCTTTATTTCCATACATCCATTTTCTACCCATCTTTCCAATTGCAGTTCAGGTCTTTCCTAGTCCCAGTGCTGAGTGCTCTTAAAACATTTATCATGTTCAGTTCTAGCTGAAGGTTATCAGTGGGTGTCTGTTCTCCCCTAAGCAAAATTTAAGTTCTTGGTATGCGGAAGACATTTCTGGTCCTTCTTTTGTTCCCCACTGGGTCCAGTCTAGCTCCTGGGACACTGAAAATAGTTCAGAAAAATTGCTGAAGGAAAAAAAAAAGAAAGAAGGAAAAGCCACTTATCACACCTCCTATTCTTCATTCTTATTACTTTCATATTCAGAGTATTAATACCATCATTACTCCTTTTTCTCTGTTTCACATGGAATACATGTGTATAGATTTCATATTAGATTTTTATGGCTTCACCAAAGTACTGCAATATTGTTGGTGAAGATTAGGTTGCTTAACTTTTTTGAAAATTCCTGAACTAAACTTTTTTTTTTTGGTACCAGGGATCAAACTCAGGTCCTTGCATGAACTAAACTTCTTGTAAAAATTAGAGTAGCTTCTCTGCTGTTTGCTGAGTTTGGCTCCTTAAAAGAACTTGATGTCACCTTGATGTTCCCTTGAAGACAGTGCTCTAGGTCTCTGCCAGAAGGGTCATCAGTAAACAGTGCGAATCCAGACAGTGCTGGTTTTCTCATTCCTGTGTCCTGGTTCAGAGTATTCAGAAACTCTTCCACTGTAGTGGACGCATCAAACCCAACAACCTAGACAGAAATAACAAAGCGGTTCTCTTCATAAAAGTATGTAAACTTTACATTGAGATGTCATGGGGAAATTGGACAGACTGGATGCATGATTAATAGCATACTGTAGTTCTCTAGGTGCTGTAACTTTTTGTCCCAAAGTTCCACTGGAGAAGTTTGACAGGGTCATCTCAGGAGTTACTTGCTCTAAGAATTCAGAGAGCCCAGCTTCAGCCAAAAGACATAAAATCAAAAGAGAAAGATCATTTGCCCACTATAAATATTATCCAGAGATATTATACTTACCAATTAGAAGCAAACCAAGAAAACAGTCTTCAAGCAAATAAACAATAAAGGCATTTAAATGAATGAATGCTTTCATGTGTTTAATGTTTCTTTACTAGGCAGTTAAGTAAGTGAATTCTTTACTAAAAGGCTTATGGCGACAAAGAGCAATTGCTAACTTTGGAATATGTTTCCTCCAGTTAATAAGCAGGAGTGAGGACGGGGATTTAACTCAGTGGTTCCGCCGACTGCCTCTCAAGCAAAAGTTCAATCTCCGGTATCAAAAAACAAAAAACAAAGAATAAGCAAGATTGAGATATGAGAGGTGGGAGGGCCTGAGGAAGTTTTCCCAGATAATTCTTGAGATTTGGAGATTTTAAAAGATTACAATTGTATACACCCAATATGAGTAATCACTTGCTTACGTACAAGGTATACGGATAGGGAAAACCTTGACCAAAGTGTCTTCGGTTTTCTCCATCAGAATTACAATGATAGTGAAACTCATCCCTTATTTGGTTCAATGTGGATTTGTTTTTAGTGTGAAGCCTTTTTAGTAAAACCGTCTCAAAACTGAGCTATTTGCTTTTGGCTTTTTGGGACAGAGTTTTGCTACATAGTCCAGGCTGGCCTTTGTCCTGCTGTCTCAGCCTCCTGAGCGCTGGGATTCCAAGTGGGCACCGTTGCACCTATCTCAGCACTAACTTGTTTTGATAGAAGACTGAACTGCAGCTTTATCACTGCCGGCTGCTGACCACACTGGCTGGTCTTGCTTCTGTATTCTACTGGGGTTACCTGCAGGATTCATGCCCAGGCATGCTTTTGTTATGGTAAAAAGGCTAACCCACCTGGTAGAGCCCATTCATGAAGTGCACTGGTATACTGAAGGGCAGAGAATGATGATAAGGGTTTCGAAGAAGGGTGGAAAGAATTTCCATTCTTGAGGGCCTTGCTACTCGATCTCCGTTCTGTTGTGTTCTTTCTACACATCGCTGGCAGTAAATGGCATATTTTCCAAATTCTGTCCTGTAATACAAAACTTAAGATAAAATCTGAGAATAAATTTAATTAAGATAATCTAATATATGTTCCCATTAAGAAAGCTTCCGCCTGCCTCACAAGCACAAGGGCCCAAGTTTTATACCCAGTACTAAAAAAAAAAAAAAAAAAAAAAAAAAAAAAAGAAAAAAAAAGAAAGCTTTCCCTTGAAAATTTCCTTTGCTTTATTGATTTTCAAGCTTTTACTGAAATCCTACTAAGATTTAACACGAGAAGTACTTTCTAAGCTTCATATCAATGGTAACCAAAGGCTTCCTATACCAATATTTGTTTCACACATTCTTCTGAAAATGTAATGTTTTAAAATACTTAGGATTTTTTTGTAGACTTTCAGAGGCCACATAAACAGTTTGGTTTTGTGCCCACCTGGAATCTGCATTCCTCTTTAGATGGAGCCTGAGGAGCCACAGGAAAGGATGATGGGGAAGGAAGAGCCCAACACAGAGCGCCAAGAGCTGCCAGCCCTGGACAGAGAGAAGCGCGGTAGGTTACATACCAAGCCAGTCACATGCATGTCAGGGGAGTGTGCCTGACACAGGCTAGGAGCACAGTGAAAAATGTTTTGTTTCTCCCACATGTACGTGATCTCTTTAGAGCATTTATACTACATTAAAAGCACAGAAATTCCACATTGGGTAACTGGTTGCATATACTATTATCTAGAACTGAGGTACCAAAGCACTAGTAGATGTGGTAATATTTTTGAAATCACACTCAAAGATTAGGAACATTGTTTTTATGTATTTACTCGTTAATTGAATTATGTATTTATTACGTATTCACTGAATACAATTATGCATTTACTCATTCACTGAATGTAAATAACTCTGAGAAAGGCAGATTACATTATAAAAAAATCATATACTCAGGCCGGGGATTCAGCTCAGGGGTATCGCTGCCTGCCTTGCAAGTGCAGGTGCTGAGTTCGATCCCTGACCAAAAAAAAAAAATCATATACTTAAAACCAAAACCCATCTCCCTCCTATGTGGCAAGTATAAAAATGTTAACAAAGGTTTAGATATAATTCTTATTTTTCCTTTGCTCTGCTTTGTATTCTCCTTCCTATATATATTTTTTCTCACTAAGCAAGTATAACTTTAGTAATTTGTAAAATCTTATATGAAAATGGAGGAGGGAATAGGCACTGTACCTGCCTTTGAGAAGCCAATAGACTAGTAGGAGACAGTTACGTATCTGTGGTGGATTGACTAATGGTCAACTCATAAGGCCCAGCCTAACTGAATCAGCGTGGTCTGGGCATGGATGATCCACCTGAGGATTGTTGCCAATAGCCATAAAAAGAGAACTAGTGGTGGGGCAGAGCGTGGCCTGTTGATTTCCTAGAAGAAGCTTGCTGCGGATGGTTTTTGGTACTATCAACTGTGTTTACATGGTAATGTTTTGTTTCGTTTTGTTTTTTGGTTTTTTGAGACAGGGTCTCACGATGTAGTTGAGACTGACCTGGAACTCACTATGTATCCCAAGCTGGTCTCCAACTCACAGCAATCTCCTGCCTCAGCCTTCTGAGTGCTGGGATTACAGGCGTGCACCACCACACCTGGCTTACATGGTAATGCTTTTAAAGATGCAGAGAAGTAATATATTTGTACTCTTTTCTTTTCTTAAAGACAATTTCTCAAATTGTATAAGCTTCAAGTCTCCTGAAACTTGGGGCAAAACCTAAGAATTCTAACATGGTAGGATAAGAAATTTCAATTTTATTCTATGGTAAACAAGGAGTCAATAGGCAAAGATAAAATAGGTGTCCAGCCAGGTGTGATGGGGCACACCTGTATTCCTAGAAATCTGGAAGCTGAGACAAGACAATCACAAGTTCCTGCCAGCCTGGGCCACTTAGTGACTTAACAAGACCCTGTCTGAAATAAAAAGGGTTAGGGATATAACTCAGTGTGAAGGTCCTGGGTTCAATTCCTAGTACTACAAATAAACAAACAAATCCCCACCAAAACAGGGGTTCTTTAAAGAATAAACACAAGTAACTAAAAAAAACCCCTGAAAATATAAATTTAACTACATCAACAACTGCAGAAATGCATCCCAAATCAATTTTATCCTGGAAAGAATTTAAAGGAAGAATTATACTGAATATTATTGACAATATATGGAAATTGGGCTGAAAGGAATTCAGTGGACCTTTATAATAAGATTCACTTTCAAAGATGTCTACTGTAAAGGAATTTATTATAGAAAAAATATTTGGAAAATTTAAACATATAGTAATTGGTATTAATATGACCATTAATAATTTGAAGAATGTTTAGGGTATAAGTGAAGTGATTATCATTTTAAATTGCATATATATATATATATATCATATACCTGCAATGGTCCTGGTTGATTCTGTGGCTGTCTTCGTCTTGTCTGTTTAATAAGCTGACAGCAAATTTCATTCTGTAGCTCAGGATGTGTCAGACAGATCTGCAAAGCGCTCTGGGCTAGAGATATGTGGTAATCGATTGCAGGGGAATCAACTGCAGCGTTTATAAAAAGCTGGCAGGTCTGAATTTTAAAAAGTGATAAGGTAAGAAATGATTAGAATTTAAATCTGCATGAAATCTACTCATTCTCTTTTTAGAAATAGTTTTTGTTTAAAAATTATGGGGAAAGATATATTAAGATAATACTAATCAAAAGAAATCTTGAGTGGCTATGGTAATAGCTGACAAAGTAGATTTCAGAGCAAGAAATTCTGCCAGAGATAATGAGGATCATCCTTATAATGATAAAGGGATCAATTCATCTAAAGGACATACTATTCTAAACATGTATATAATACTGGAGCTCCAAAATACTGTACATGATCATCTTATCCAGTATACTATTCATTTTAGTCTTTGCATTTTCAGTTCTAAATGTTCCATCTGGGTCTTTTAAATACCTTCACTCACCCTTCTTAAATGTTCATATGGTCCCCAGCATCCTCCAACTCCCAATATTCAAACCCTCAAATAATGTCCTCCCATGTTGTAAAAAGTTAATTTGTGTGGCCACTAGAAAGTGCCATGCAATTTCTGGGATTGGGTTACAAAAAACATGTGGCTTCCATCTTAGCTGCTCTATTTCCTTCTCAGATGGTTAGTTGTGGGAGGCAACTATCATGTCTTGAGCAGTTATAAGGAGAGAACCAGGCAGTAAGGAATAGAGGCTTCCTGCCAACAGCTGTACGAGCAGGTCTGGATCCCTCTGTTCCACTCACGTTTTCAGATGCCCCAGCTAATGACTTGACAGCAGCTTCCTGAAATGCTGAGCCAGGACTATCTAGCTAAATGCTTCCAGATTCCTGGCCTTCTGAATCTGTGTGAAATACTAAATGTTTGTTGTTCTAAGCCACTAAATGTTGGGAAAATTTTTTAAATGTAGTAATACATAACTAGTACCCAGAAATGTCCTTGTCTATTATCACCTGTACCATTTCTAGAGAGATTTCTTTTTTCATCTTTTTATGTCATATTTAACCCAATTCTCATATTCCTGTGACTTTTTGTTTGCTTTTTTGAGACAGGGTCTCATTATGTAGTTCAGGCCGGCCTTGAACCTTCTGCCTCAGCCCCCAAGTGCTGGGATTAGAGGTGTGCAACACCACACCTGGCTCCTGTGATTTTTAAATTTGATGCAGACACTGTGAACTTTTTATTGTTGGGAACTGAATTTTTTGGGTATTCTTTAAACATTGTTTGTGTTTTGCTCTTAGATATAGTTAAATTAGTTGGAAATAGCTTGTTTTTTTTTTTTTTTTTTTT